ATTCCAGAGAGCTGATCTTATGTAGTCAACTTGCTGAGAGATTTAGTCCAGTATTGGATGGCCTTGGGTTCACCTTTGCAGGTGGTGAGCAACTTTAGAATTTTCAGGACTGCTTTACCCACTACTTTATCATCCTGTCTGCCCAGTTGGTAACTAGAGTGCATCTTTGGGTAGGTCTACTCCCTGGGCCTCAGAGCAACTTTGGAACTTTCACATTGCCCACTGCTTTAAGTGGCCTGGATTTATCCTCCCACTTACTAGGAGACTTAAATCTATTCTGTACAGACCTTGAATGAGTACACCCTCAGTGCCTGGGAGAAACTATGAAACTTTCACAGCTCCATTGCCCACCACTCTAGGGGTCTGGGGTTACCTAGTTTATTAGCTACAAGACTTGAGTTTGGTCTGAGAATGCCTTGGGAGAGTTTGCACGTGGACCTAGGAGAAGTTTTGAAGTTTTTCTGACTTTGTTGCACATCATTCTAGCAGTCTGTGTCACCCTTCCTCCCACAGGGAGACTTAATCTGTTCAGAGCAGGCATTGGAGAAATCCATGTTCATGGCCTGGAAGTAACTTTGGAACTTTTATGTCTCCATTGCCTAGCTCTCTAGTTGCCTGTGCATACATCATCTGCCCACTGGGAGTCTTTGGTCTGGGAAGGCCTAAGATCAGTCTAAACTCATGGACTGTGAGAAACTTGAAACTTTTATGAATCCCACCACTCTAGTGCCTTCTAATTGCTAGATCTCCACTGGGAGACTTGAGTCAGTCTGGGCAGGCCTTGAGAGACTCTACACTAGCAGCATGGAGGCAACTTTGAAACATTTTTAACTTCCATGCCTGCCATTCTAGTGGCCTGTGCCCACCAGTAGACTTGAGTTTTGTATGGGCAGAGCTTTGGTGAGTCCATTCTCTCAGCCTGGGAGCATCTTGGAATTTTCATGAATATGTCACCCACCATTCTAGCAGCTTGTACTTGCTCTGCTTACTGGTTGGAAGATGTGAGTCCAGTTTAAGCAGGTCTTGGATGACTCTGTGCTCAAGCCTGGGAGCAACTTTGGAATTTTCATGATTCTTTTGCCCATCACTCTAGCACGCTGGGCTGAGCTGCCCACCCACCTGGAGACTTGAGTCTGGTATGAGCAGGCCTTAGATAAGTTCTCATTCTGCCTGGGAGCAACTTTAGAATTTTTCAACTCTCTTACCCACTGCTAGAGTGTTCTGACTTCACCAGCCCATCCACCAGAACACTTGAGGCTAGTTTGTGCAGGCCTTGCTTGAATTTGTGCTCTGTCCTGGGCACAATTTTGGAACTTTCAAGACTCTGTTTGCTCTAGTAGATATACTGTGCTTGTTCTTCCTGCCAGCTGAGAGATTTGAGTGTGTTCTGGGCAGGCATTAAGTGAATATGCATTAATGTCCTGAAAGTAGATTTGGAACTTTGATGTCTCTGTCACACACTGCTCTGGATGCTGTGCTTGCAGGAAGGCTCAAGTCTGGTCTGGACAGGCCTTGAATGAGTCCATGCTGATGGTTTAGGAGCAACTTTGGATCTTTCACAATTCCCTCACTTACTACTCTTGTGGCCTGAGCTCACCTGCCCACATGCTGAATTTGTAATTGAAACTATGAGCAACTTTGAAACTTACTGCTTTAATGGATCATGCTCACCAGGGCTGCCTATCTGCCAGGAGACTTGAATCTGATCTGCACAGGCCTGGGTGAGTCCACATTCATGCCCTATGACATGAAACTTTAGATCTTTCATGACTCCTCCTATCACTGGTATAGTGTCTTGAGGTCACCTAATCTGCCCACCAGGAAGTGATTCTGAGCAGGCATTGGCTAAGTCTGTACTCATGGCCTAGGATGTTTCTGGGACTTTCATGATGCTGCTGCTCACTGCTCTACTGGACTGGGCTCATCCTACCCACTGGGATGCTTGAGTCCCATTGGGGCAGGCCTTGAGTGAGTCCAGGTTTGTGTTCTGGGAGCAACATTGGATTTTTTATGACTGTCACCCACAGTTCTAAAGGTTTATACTTACCCTGTATACCCCCTGGGAGCCTCCAGTCCAGGTTATGCAGACCTTGGGTGAGTTCATGCTTATGGTCTGGGAATAACTTAAGAAGTATTACTACTCCACTGGTCTAATGGCATAGCCTTGCAATCCCACTTGATGGGATACTGAAGCCTGGTTTCAGTAGGGCTTGTGTGAGTTCATATTTGGGGCCTGACCCTAAGTTTGGAACTTTCATGATTCCAGGGCTGACCACTCTAATGGCCTGAATATTCCCCTCCCACCTGTCTGCAGACTTCGGTTCAATATGGGCAACTCTTTGGATCAATCCATACTCACAGACTGGGGGCAACTTTGGAACTTTCATGACTGTTGCCCACTGCTCTACCAGCCTCAGATAGCCAGTTCCTCCTGGGAGATATTAAGTCCAATCTGGGCAGGTCTTAATGCACACTGCACTAATGACCTGGAAGCAACTTTGAAATTACAAACACTCTATCACCTATCATTCTAGAGACCTGAATCCACCTTATCTCTCCATTGGTAGACTTGAGCTTTTTTGGGCAAGTGAGTCTGTACTTATAGGCTTGGAGTAAATTTGGAAATGTCATAACTTTGTTACCCACCACACTAGCAGCCTGCTCCGATTCTGACTGCTGGTTGGGAGACTTGAGTCTAGTCTTGGAAGGTCTTTTCTGAGACAAACATTAAGACTGGAAGCATCTTTAAAACTTCACAATTTTATCCTCTTGCTGAACTGGTGTCAGAGCTAGACACTCACACCTGCTTGCACATCCCTCCCCTCACCCATTTGCTGCACTCTGTCCTGATTCCAGTTGCTTGGAAGTATCCATAAGAGGGAGGAGTGCTTGTCAGCCACCTTTGTGACAAAATTAGACAAGATCCCTGCTTAGAACATGCAGTCTGCTTGTGAGGGAAGAATTTACAAGTGAAAGAAGCTGAAAATAGACAACCAAATGTGACCCATTGTCAACCCAGTGTTTCCCATGAGAAGAAGTCCCATATTGGACCAGTAAAGACCATGGATTCTCAAAAAAAAGTTAAAACTTGATTGGCTCAATCAAGCACATCAACATACCTGTTATTGTCAATGGCCTGGGCTTGTCCTGCCCACTGACTGGTAGACTTGACTCTAGTCTGGGCAGGCTTCGACAGTCCATGCTCGTGGCCTAGGAGCAACTTTGGAAATTTTTTGACTCCATTGCCTAAGGCTATACTGGCCTGACCTTGTCAGCCCAAGGAGACTAGCCCCCTTGCTTAACTTCATGCTAAGGTCTTGGGTGCAACTTTGGAACATACAAGTCTCCATTGCTCACTGCTTTAGCAGCCTGCGTTATCCCTTTCTATCAGCCAAAAGACTTGAGTATGGTCAGGACAGTCATTAAATTAGTCTACACTTGCAGCCTAAAAGCAACTTTGAAATTTTGTTTTTCTTCTTTTTTTTTAATTTTCTTACAATAAATTACTGTATATATTTACAGCATACAAAATGGACTTTTCCAAATGAATACTGTATACTAGCCCAGACAAAGGAATAACCACATGCATTATTATCAAATGAATAATTTTTCATTTTTATGTCCATTGAATATTTTCCTTTTTTTTTCTCCCATTGATTCCCTTGCTCCCACTTTCCCCCCTTGTCTATCCTCCTCCTCTATTATCTATAGTTGCTCTCCATGCTTTTATACCTTCCAATCTTTGGGTTTATGTTTTTAATTTAAATTTATTTATTTACATTTATTTGGCTTGTCCTTTTGGCCTGGGAGCAACCTTGAAACTTCATTACTCTGTCATTCACCACTCTAGCACCCTGGGTTCACCCTGCCCACTGAGAAGATAATTTATTACAGTCTGGGTGGACCTCAGGTGAGTCCATACTCAGTCCCGGTGTATTTTGGAAATTTTATGACTCCTTTGTCCACTGCTCTAGTGATCTCCATTCTTCCTGCCCTACCACCAAGAAACATGAGTTTGCTTTGTCCAGGTCTTGGTTGAATCTGCACTAATGGCATGGGAGCTACTTTGGAATTCTCATGACTCTATTGCCCACTGCATTAGTGGCCTGGGCTAGCCAGCCCACCCACCAGAAGACTTGAGTTCAGTCTGGGAAGGTCTTGAATGTGTTCACACTTGAGACCTTGGAGAAACTTTCACGACTTTGTTATCCAGCATATAGAAGTCTGTTCTCACCCTACTTACCCAACATAAGATTTGAGACCAGTCTGGGTAGCCCTTGAGTGAGTCTGTGCTCATGGCCTGGGAACAACTTTAAAACTTTCACACCATCACACACCACTTTAGTGACCTGGTCTCACCAGTCCAACCACTGTCTGGGCAGTACATGGGTAAGTCTGCCTGTGTGGCCTGAGAGCAACTTTAGAACTTTCCTAACTATTTCACCCACTTCTCTAGAAACCTGGACTCTCCAGCCCACTTTCTGGGAGATTTGAATCCTGTATGGGCAGTCTTTGAGTGAGTTTGCACTCAAGGCCTGGGAGCAACATTGGAACATTTATGACATTGTCATTTAGTATTCTAGCAGTCCAGATTTACCCTCTTTGCCTGCTGGGAGGCTTGAATTTGGTCTGAGCATACCTTGGGTGTATCCCATGCTCTAGATTTGGGAGCAACTTTGGAATTTTCATGACTTTGTCATCCAACAGTCTCATGATCTAGGCTCATCAGTTGACCTGTGGGAGACTTGAGTCTGGTTTGAGCAGGTCTTGGGTGACTCTGTATTTGGTGCCTTGAAACAACATGGAACTTGGCAACTTTCACAACTCAGTCACCAACTGCTCTTGTAGTCTAGGCTTGCCAGCCCACCTGCTGGGACACTTGAGTTCCGTCTGGAAAAGCCTTAGGTGAGTCTGCTCTAGGCCTGGAAGGAACTTTTAAACTTTCTCAACTCTGTTTCCCACCCATCAGCAGCCTAGACTTTACACCAGGAGAGTTGAGTATGGTCTATGAAACCATGGGTAAGTCTGCACTTGGGGCCTGGGAGCAACTTTGCAACTTTCTTGACTTTGTCACTTGTTGCTATAGTGGCATGGATTGCCCCATTCCCCCAACTGAAGATTTGAGTCTGATTGGACAGGCTTTGGGTAAATCCACACTCTGCCTAGAAGGAACTTTGGAAGTATTATGATTTTATCACCCACTACTCTAGTGAAGTGGATTAAACCCACCTGCCCACCAGGAGACATGAATCTAGTATGAGCAGGACTCAGCCTTGTGAGTTTATGCTTGCATCCTGGGAGCAAATTTGGAACTTTTACGACTCCGTTGCCCACAGCTGTAGTGACCTGTGCTTGGTCCACCTGCATGTCAATCTATGTTTGGTTCTTGGAGCAACTTTGCAACTTTATATTAATTTGTTGTCCCTTGGTCTAGCAGCCTGGGTTCACCCTCCTTACCCTCCTTGTCTAGTCTGAGAAGGCATTGGGCAAGCCTGCTTTTATGACTGGGGGACAAGTTTTGATGTTTTAAGACTCCATCACCCAATTCTCTAGCAGCCTGCATTCACTCTGCCCATCTTCCATGGAGACTTTATTCTGGTCTAGAAAGGACTTGAATGAGTTCACACTTGTGGCCTGGGAGCAACTTTGGAACTTTCATGAGTCTGTCACACACCACTGTAATGGTAAGGGTTCATCCTGCTCACATGCTTAAAGACTTGAGTCTGATCTGAGCAGGCCTTGGGTGAGTCCATGCTCAGGGGTAGAAAGCAACTTTGGAATCTTCATTACTCCATTGCCCACCACTCTAATGGCCTAGTTTAGTCTCATCTGCTGCCAGAAGACTTGAGTTTGGTCTGGACAGGCCTTGTGCTCATCCACATTTGTGTTGGCCTGAAAGCAAATCTGGAACATTCCCAACTCTCATGCTTTGCTCTAGATGGTTGAGCTCAATCTGCATCCCAACTGGGAGATTTGAGTTCAGTCTGAGTCTACAATCTTGGCCTGGGAGAAACTTGGGAGCTTTATGTTTCAGTCACCCACTGCTCTAGAAACCTGGGTTCATCCCATCTACTGGTGGGACACTTGAGTTCAGTTTATACAGGCTTTGGGTAAGTCTGGTCTTGGGGTTTGGGAACAAGTTTGGAAATTTCACAAATCTATTGCCCACAATCCTGATTGGCCCTACCCAGTCACCTAAAAAGTTGAGTTTTATCTGGTCAGTCTTTTGGGGAGTCCTTGCTGGGCTACCTGAAAGTAAATTTGAAATTTTAATGACTGCATTGCCCACCACGCTAGCAGCCTGCACTCACTCACTTGCTCACGAGAGACTTGAGTCTGGTCTTGGCAAGTTTGGGGTGAGTCTGCCTGTCTTGAGAGCAACTTTAGAAATTTTACAACCTTTTCTCCCACTGCTCTCACTAGCCTGTATGCCAAAAGACTTGAGTCTGGGCTGGGCAGAACTTGGGTAAGTCTGGGCCTAGGAGCTAATTTGGAACTGTAATGACTTCATTTCCCACTACTCTAGTAACAGAGTTTTGTCCACTGACCCACTCAGATACTTGAGTGTGATCTGGGCAGGCCTTGGGTTGATCCATACTCAAAGCCTGGGAGCTACTTTGGAACTTTCAGAATACTATCATTCAATGTTCTAGTGGCCTGGCCTTGACATTCCATCTGCCAGGAGCCTAGAGACCTGTCTGAATAGGCCCTTGGTGAGTCTGTGTTCCTGACCTGGGGTAAACTTTTGGACTTTTGTAACTCTGTTACATACTACTCTAACAGTCTGCCCTTGCTATGAGTGCAGGAGACTTGATTCTCATCTGGGAAGGCATTGGGTGAGTAGTCACTCATAGCCTGGGAGAAACTTCAGAATTTTAATAATTTATTACTCACTGCTCTAGTGGTCTTGGCTCTCCAGCTCACCTGCCAAGAGACTTGAGTCTAGTTTGGGCAGGCCTTGGGTGAATCTTCTCAGGGCCTGGAAACAAATTTGGAACTTTCATAACTCTGTTTTCTATTTCCATAGCAACCTGGACTAGACCTACCTATCCATCAGGAGACTTGAGTTTCATTGAGGCAGTTCTTAGGTTATTCCATGATTGTAAAAATTTTGGAACTTTCATGACTACATAGTCAACTGCTCTCCCATCCTGTGCTTTCCCTGCCTGCCTAAGGGAGTGTTTAATATAATCTGGGCAGGCCTAGGATCAGTCTGCATTTGGGTCCTGGGAGCAATTTTGGAACTTTTCCAACTATTCACCTACTGCTCTTGCAGTGTGTTCTCACCCAATCTATCTGTAGGGAGTCTGGTCTAGGCATGCCTTGGATGAGTTTGCACATGAGACTTGGAATCAATTTTCCCAATTTGTTGGAATGGGCTCACATAACTCACCTGGCTGCTGGGAGACTTGAGTCTACTCATGGCAGACCTTTGATGAGTTTATTCTTGTAGTCTAGGAGCAACTTTGGAACTAGTACAACTCTGTCACTTACTACTAGAGCAGCCTGAACTAACCTTACCTTCCTGCCAAAAGAATTGAGTTCAGTCTGTACAGGTCATTGGTAATTTTGGACCCTCAGCCAGAGGACAAATTTGGAACTTTCACTTCATTGGCCTGGGGTCTCCAGTACAATTGCTGGCAAACTTGAGTCCATTTTGATAGGCCTTGGTTGAGTTTGTGCTAGGGAACTTGGGGGAACTTTGGAATTTTCCTAACTTTGCTGTCTACCTCTCTATAGTCCTGAGATCACCTTGTCTGCCTGCTGGGAAAATTCAGTCCATTCTGGGTAGTATGTTTTGAGTCCATATTTGCAATCTGAGAGGAACTTTGGAAATTTTGTTATTCTATCACTTTTGCTCTGGTGGCCTGGACTTTTGAGCCCACCTACTGGGAGACATGAATCCAGTCTGTGCAAGCCTTAAATGATTTTGTGGCCTGGGAGCAATTTTGAAACTTTTTCAGTTCAGTTATCCACCATTCTAGCAGATTATGATCACTCCATCTGCCCACGGAAAGACTTGTGTCTGGTATGGAAAAGTGTTGGGTAAATTTTCACTTGGAACCTGGCAGCAACTTTGGAACCTTCATGAATTTTTTTTTTTGCTCACAACTCTAGCAGCCTGGGCTCACTCTGCCTACCCACCAGGAGACTTGAATTTGATCTGTGTTATATCAGGAACAGGCCATGGAACATGAAGCCAAACATTGAAAGGGATAGGAAAGAAATTTATTAAAAGGTGAAGCCCCATCACAGTGAACAGACACTCGAGTGAGGGTCTGATGCCCCTCAGCAGGGCAACAGGGGTTTTATACAGGCAAGTAAACAAGTTATATAGGGCACACCTAACGAAGGTCTTGCTAGATATTCAACTGCAAAGGCAGGGTCAAAAGTGCATATATCTCAGAAGAATAGCTTGTGCCTAGGAAATGAGGCCACATCTTTTTTTCTGTTTGACTCTCAGTGTTGGTTGCCTAGGCTGACATTAAGGTGGCTGCCAAAACAGAGAAAATGGAGGAACAGTTGCCAGGATAGTCTCAACATTCCCAATATATATTTTAAAGGAGATAATTAACCTTGAAAGCAGGGGTTAAGAGTCCCTGCAGTGGGGTGTCAGACCAAAACTAGGGCCCAGAGTTCAGGGCATCTGTGAGGGCAATACAGGCTCCACAGGAGCTGGGTGGTGTCTGTGGACGAGGCAGTGGGTCTCAGGGAGAGTCACCTGGAGAACTTGCAGAGGCTCTGTCCAGATTTGGATCCTAAGTAGGTTGACCAGTCAGAAAAGCCCACTTGATGGTGACTGGGTCAGCAGTGGGCTGGCCATTGGCATCCAGGACAAGTTTATGGTCCTCCCACAAATTCTTAGTGGTAAAGAGAGTCTGGGGCAGCTGGTGGCGTCGTCCTAGATAGGCTGGTGGGTGAAGAAGATAGTTTCAAGGAGAGAGGTTAATTAAACCTTGTGGATTTTGAAAGAAGGAGGAATTCTAATTTTTCTAGTTTATAGGTCACTCATAGAGAAAAGGAATTAAACCATAAAGGGATAACCATCTGGACCTAGTTCAGAGGATCCCATTACTTGAGAGGAAAAGCTGGCAGGGGGGCCAAGGCCCCTTGGGACATGCAATCACCCTCAGCTGATTTCTTGCCCATGGAAGAGTCCTTAGGTCTTGGCCCATAAGTAGATCCAGATTAAGTATGGCGAGGACTGAGAGGGTCATCTCCCTGGACAAGAGGTGCATTTTCTGGTTCACTTGGGGCCTCCTCCTTTTGTTGCAGAGAGGCAGTATTAATACCTGTTCTATGATGACCCACTCAAGAGACTCAGGGACTATTGGCCTGTCATTTGGTAATGGCAACTATTTGTGGGCCTGTTTTTCTTTCTCCTGGGTGTAGGAGGGCAAGGAAGGGTGGACAGAGTCTGGGGTGGCTACAATAACTTTTACTTGTTGGTACACCTGTACTTTAAAAAATACCCTTAACCTCTGATTTAGGCAGAACTTAATCTTAGTCACTTTAAGAGTTACCTGAGACTTGTCTAGTGAAATTGTCAGATGTCCACATGGAGCTGTAGGGGTCTTGAGCCCCAACAAGCCTCAGTTTCAAAGGCCAGCATGAACTTTAGAAGTCCAGAGCTTCCTTCAGAGCTTGGTGCATTTTGTCTCCAGTGACCAGCTCTACAGTTGGGGACAAGGTCCCAGTGGGAAATATGAGGACGTCAGTCATAAACATTGTTTAGTGTCCAGGCTGTCCACTTTGGAAACAGTTTTTTTTTGAGGCAGAGGCTCTGATCTGGGCTGTTTCCAGATCCTGCCCTCAAAGAAGTTCTCAGCCTTCAGGATTACCATGAGTGACTACTGGGTGCTGTTTAAGTGAGAGTTAAATCAAAGGTTAAGGTTTCTTGTCAATTTATAATAACTTTTTTTAGTTATTTGAAAACTTTTTAAAGAAAAAATCTGTTCTGAATTGTAAGAGTTCTTACACTGAGAAGTGAAACTAAATTCCAATTGATCCTACAAGGA